ATCCATTTGTTGAAATATCTCAATGGGTATTCCGTCAATTCCCAGAGCCTTGTTCTTCACCAATTCTTTCATTGCAGCTTTGACTTCCTCCTTCAGTATCATTGGTTCTAGATCATATGCCACTTCCTGAAATGGATGAAGATCGACCAGTTCTTTTTGGTACAGTGATTCCTGAATCACTGGAAGGGATATCATAGCTGATGTTAGATGGATCTTGGCTGAAAGCAAAAAGTACCGGAAATATGTTTACTTCTGTTTTATTGACTAAGCAAAGGCATTTGATTGTGTGTATCATAACAAATTGTGGATAACATTGAGAAGAATGGGAATTCCAGCACACTTAATTGTGCTCATGAGGAACCTGTCCATAGACCAGGAAGCTGTCATTCAAACAGAACAAGGGAACACTACATGGTTTAAATTCAAGAAGGGAGTGCATCAGGGTTGTATCCTTTCACCATACTTATTCAATCTGTGTGCTGAGCAAGTAATCCTAGAAGCTGGACTACGTGAAGAAGAATGTGGCATCAGGATCGGAGGGAGACTCATTAACAACCTGAGATACACAGATGACACAACTTGCTGAAAGTGAGGATGACTTGAGACATTTACTGATGAAGATTGATGACTACAGTCTGCAGAATGAATTACACCTCAATATAAAGAAAACAAAAATCCTCACAACTGGACCAATAAGCAGCATCATGATAAATGGAGAAAAGATTGAAGTTGTCGAAGACTTCATATTACTTGGTTCTACAATCAACACCAATAGAAGCTGCAATCAAGACATCAGACAATGTATTGCATTGGGCAAATCTCCTGTAAAAGACCTCTTTCAAGTGCCAAAGAGCAAAGATTATCTCCTTGAAGACTAAGAGGCACCTACTCCAAACCATGTGTGGTAGTTAAGGTTGTTGCCAACTTGTCTGGGCCTGGTTGAGTGGCTGGGCAGCTGGAAGTAGTTATTCCCCATGATAAGACTGGCAATCAACTTCATGGTGGAACCTGCTGCAAGCAGCTGAGTGGCTGCATTAGGGATGTGATCTGCTTCCCGTATATAAGGAGAAGCTTTGGAATTGGTCTCTAGCCTTTTGGCACACTGAACCCTGCATGTAGCCAAGTCATTGTTCAATACCCTGCCATGCCCTGCCAACCATGAGACTTCACCTGGACTTGAATTAGTGGTCTGCCATGTTGTTGGTAACATTGGGACTGTGCCTTTTTACTTGCCAACCTTGGGTTTGTCAGCCTCAGCAGCTGTCTGAGTGAAGAAAACCTCCAGCTTCAGTGCGGTGGGAGCAGGAGGCAGAGCTGAAGCCCAAGGTTGAGGGGCTTTCACCCAGCCCCTAATGCCCGGCACTTTGAACTCAGATTTAAAGCCTCTAAAATTGTAAGAGAATAGACTCCTGTGTTATTCAAACCATCTCATTTATGGTGTATTTCTGTTAGAGCAGCACTAGGTAACCAAAACACAATTGTATTTCCAATCGCCTGGTATGCATGTGAGAGCTGACGATGAATAAGGAAGACCGAAGAAGAGTCGATGCTTTTGAGTTGTGGTGCTGGAGAAGAATGCTGAAAGTACCATGGACTGCTAAAAGAACTAACAGATCTGTCCTGGAGGAAGTGCAGCCGGTATGCACCTTGGAAGCAAGAATGGCCAGACTTCATCTCACCTACTTTGGTCATGTTGTCAGAAGGGACCATTCTCCGCAGAAGGATGTTATGCTTGGTAAAGTGGAGGGTCAACAATAGAGGGGAAGGCCCTCAATGAGATGGGTTGTCACAGTGGCTGCAGCAATGGGCTCAGGTATAGCAGGGATCGTGAGGCTGGCATAGGACTGGGCAGTGTTTCGTTCTTTTGTACGTAAGGTCGCTATGAGTCAGAGACGACTCAATGGCACGTAACAACAACAGTGCCCCCCCAACAAAAACTTTTCCGCCCCCCTCCTGGTAACCATAAATAATTTTTAGCTTCTATATATTGGCTTATTGCATGTAAGTGAGTCACACAATATTTGTCCTTATGCAACTGACTTATTTCATTCTGCATAATATTTTCAAGGTTCTTCCATGTTGTGGCGTGTAAGAGAATTTACTTTCTCTTTATGGCTGAAAGTATTCCATTGTCTGGATGGACCACATGTGTGTACCCATCACCTGTTGATGGACATTTGGGTTGTGTCACCTTGTAGCTCTTGTGAAAAGTGCTACAATGAACACTGGTGTGTGGGTTTTTCTTTGTGTTCCAGTATTTACCATTTTATATCCATCTAATGGGCCCTGGTGGCACAACAGTTAAGCACTTGGCTGCTAACTGAAAAGTTGGCAGTTCAAACCCACCCAGTGGCTCCAAGGGAGAAAGGCCTGGCCATGTGCTTGTGTAAAGATCACAGCCGTGAAAACCCTACCGGGCAGTTCTACTCTGTCCCGTGGGGTCTCTATAAGTCAAAAATCGCCTGGATGGCCCCTAACAACAACGACCCCTTGCAATTGCTTGATGTTGCCTTCTTTGACCATAACCTGGGTGTGCCGTTTCTCCTCCTGTGAATTGCTGGTGGGGTCCTTGGCCCACTGTCCCATCTGCTGGCAGTGTTTTTCTCACCGGCTGCCTCTGGCAGGTCTACTCATTCGGGGAGACACCGTGGGACCCGGAGCTGATGCAGACATGCTATCGCGAGGCTGAGCGGAATCGGGAGTGCCTGCGGCAGCTGGCTGCACCCTTTGGTTTCCTCGGGACACAGAGCCTAGTGTTTAGGGTCCAGGATCTCGCCCAGCAGGTGAGGAGGGCAGGAGCAAGCACCAGGTGTGTACTGGGGACATCAGGACACCAGGATGACAGAGAGGGGTCTGGCCTGCCCTCTAGCCCCCAGGATCACGAGCTCTGGATCAGGCAGTGACCACGCCAAGTGGGCAGGGCTGGGTCTCTCTCTCTCTCTCTCTCTCACACACACACACACACACACACACACACACACCCTGGTCCATTTCCAGCGACAGGAGGGCTTCCAGGAGGGCTTCCTGAGGAGGGCTTTTCCAATGGGACGGCAATTGGAGGAATGGGGGTGGGGCATATTTCAGGGAGAGGGAACATTAGGGACTAATGCTGGGAAGTGAGAGAGCTTGGCTGCTTTGGGAAGTAATTTAGAGAGCTTGGATTGTAGGTTTTGGTGGCTGGGTGATGCAAATGATTTGAGCTTGGCTGCTAACTTAAAGGCTGGCAGTTTGAACCCACCTAGTATGCTATGAAAGAAAAGCCTGGCAGTCTGCTTTCATAAAGATTGCAGCCAAGAAAACCCTGTGGAGCTCGGTTCTTCTCTGTAACATACGGGGTTTCCATGAGTCCGAGTCAGCTCCACAGCAACGGGTTTAAGGTTTTTTGGTTTTGTTTGGAGTGATGGAGGATGGGCTGGTGAGCTGGCAGGGTGACTACCACAAGGCCTTGAACACTGAGCTAAGAAGCCAGCTCTGTCCTGAGGCAATAGGGAGCCACAGCAGGTGTGTGAGCAGGGGAAGCACTATGACCTGATTCGTGGCTTAAGAAGCTCTGCCTGCCAAGAGGAGCAGGGGTTATTGGGGACAGGAGTGGAAGTGACAGAGAGGCCAGGGTAGCATCTAGAAGGGAGATGGCAGGGCTTGAACCAGGTGAACTGTTGGTGGGGTAAACAGTGTGTTTTGGAGGCCGAGGGGGGAGTATGTTGATGCATGAGGTGAGTGAGGGAGATGGGGATCTGGGAATGTCCAGGCTACCTAGCATAGTTGTTCAGTTTGTACACTGCACAAGGACATGGTCTGAGGGAGCTGAATTCCAGCCAGCTCACTTTTCACCAGGCCAGGCACCCTGGCCCTAAATCCCCCAGAAGGAGGGTGCTTTTTGCCATTGTTCACAGAGCTCCCCGCCCCCCCGATGTGGACTGACTACCCCCTAAGGCTGCAGTGTGGATGCTGGAGTCACCCAGCCCCTCCTTCCACAGCTCATGGCTGATGCCACCGCCACCTTCCTGCAGCTGGCCGACCAGTGTCTGACAGTGGCCCTGGACTGCCGGCAGGCTGTCCAGCAGCTGGAGAAAGTCAGGGGGCGTGTACTTAAGGTGAGGCCCGAGGGGCGCACTGGTGGGGCCTGGGGGTCAGACGGTCGATCACTGGAGGGCCACTCGGGTGTGTCCTACAGAAGTTCGAGTCCGATGGCAGATCGGCACAGAGGCGGTTCCTCCGTGAGTGGCTGGTGCACATCTTCCTGCCCTTTGTGCTGGGCCAGCTGGAGCCATGCTGCAAACGGGTGAGCTGATGGCGGCTGTGCAGGCACTTCGTGGAGTATGACTGAGCTCAGGGTCCCTGCCTTAGTTACCTAGAGCGGCTGTAACCGATTTACCACAGGTGGGTGGTCTTAACGAGCAGAAATTGATTTCCCCAGTTTGTGGTTACTGCTGTCCACTCAGCCTCTGACTCATGGTGACTCCATGCAGAACAAGATTAGACCTGTAGGGTTTTCAGTGGGTAATTTTTTAGCTGACTGCTGTGCATGGGGTCGCTATGAGTCGGAAACGACTCGACGGCACTTAACAACAACAACAACAATTTTTTAGAAGCAGATCACCAGGCTTTTCTTCCTAGTCTGTCTTAGCCTGGAAGCACCAGCAACATGCATCATAGCAATGCTGATAGGTGAATGGTGGCCAGGAGTTGAGTCCACGTGTTTTGGTCTTCTACTGCCGCACAAACAGAAATACCACAGGTGGATGCTTTGAACAAACAGGGATTTATTCTCTTACAGTTTAGGAGGCTGGAAGTCTGAGTTCAAAGTGCCAGCTCTAGGGACTGGGATAAAGCCCCTTGACCTTGGGCTTCAGCTCTGCCTCTTGCTCCTGGCCCACTGAAGCTGGAGGTGTCTCCACACAGGCAGCTGCTGGCTGCTGAGGCAAACAAGCCCAAGGTTGACAAGTAAAATGGCATAGTCCCAAGGTTATCAAGTAACATGACAAACCACTAGTTCAAGTCCAGAAACAGTCCCAAGATCAGCAGGCAACATGGCAGGCTGCTGAATGAAGACTTGGCTATATGCAGGGTCCAAGTGTGCCAAAAGCTCAGTGACCTTTCTCAAAGCATCTTCTTACCTACTGGGAGCAGACCACATCCCTAAGGCAGCTACTCAGCTGCTCACAGTAGATTCCACCATGGAGTTGATTACCAGTCTCATCATGGGGAATACTACATCCAGCTGCCCAGCCACTCAACCAGGTCCAGCCAAGATGACACATAACCTTAACTACCACACCGGGTCTCCCACATGCAATGTGAGGTTTCTGCCACTGAACCTCCACTGCCCCCCTTCTCATAGTTTAGGAGGTGAGAGGTGTGAATTCAGGAGGACAGCTGTAGAGGAAGGCTCTCTGGCTCCAGTCTGGGGGAAATCCTTGCTCAGCCTCACTCATCAAGAGTGGGCTTGGTGTTCCTTGGCGATTTCCCCCATTTGTATTGGCTTGTCTCTGTGCCTAATCTGCTCCTTTTACATCTCAAAAGTGATTGGTTTAAAACACACTGTACACTGATAGGGCCTCATCAACATAACAAAGAAAACTATTCCCGAATGGGATTACATCACAGGTATGTTGTTAGTTGTCATGGAGCCCATTCCCACCCATGGTGACCCCTGTGGGTAGAACTACTCCATAGGGTTTCCAGTGGTGGCGACCTTTCAGAAGCAGACGGACAGGCCTGTCTTCCAAGGCATCTCTGGGTGGGTTTGAATCATGTGCCACCCAGGGACTCCTTATCCACAGGTGTAGGAATTAGGTTGACAACTGTACTTTCGGAGGATATAGTTCAATCCATAACAGACTGTTAGAGACTTTTGCTCCCTGAGCTCTCAGGCTGGGTCAGGTGGCTTTTCTGGGCACCCACAATGCCCTGTTTCCCCACAAATGGACTTGTTGCTCTGTATCTGCCACGTGACAGCTGGGGGGTCTGATACATCGTGTGTCAGTGGTGACATGGCTGTGGAGACAATGGAGGAGGCTGATGGGGAGCCGTATGGGTGTGGGGGGGTCCCAAGTGATTAGGGAAGGTCTCAGTGAGAAGCTGACTATGGAGAATGGACCTGAGGGCACTAGCCACATCCCAGGTAGGTGTTCAGGGAGCAGGCGTAGCCCGTGGAAAGGCCCCGAGGTGGGGCTGAGCCCAGCGTGTCAGAGGAGCAGTGAGGGGGCAGGTGTGGCTGGTGCAGAGTGAGAGGGGGGAAATCACAGGGTGGGGCCACGTGGGACTCAGCGGCACAGACGGAGGTCTGACTTAGGTGTTCATAGGACTGGACACAGAGGAAGAGACTGTGGGTGGTCACAGTGGAGGCACCCACCCTTGTCCCAGCAAGTGGGGCTTTGCTCTGTCTTATTATTTTACTCCCTGTATCAGTCAGGGTTACAGAGAAACAGAACCAACAGAATATGTGTGTATATATATATATACATACACACATAGTCATATATATGTAGATATATACATGTGTACATGTGTCTATATCTGCTACACATCCCTTACAGTGATGTGTTGCTTAACATCCATGATACGTTCTGTGAAATAGGATGTTACATGATTTGGATATTGTGTGAACACCATATTATATGCAGGTGGTCCCCAGATTATGAACAAGTTAGGAGCTCTGGTGGCGTAGTGCCTAACACATTTGACAGCTAACCAGAAGGGTGGCGGTTCAAACCACTAGCCACTCCCCGGAAGGAAGACTGGGGAATCTACTTCCGCAAAGATACCACCTTGGAAATCCAAAGGGGGTTGTTATGACTTGGAGCTGACTCAATGGCAGTGAGTTTGGTTTTTAGGTTTTTTTTTGGTTCTGTTCCTAAGACTGTCTTTAAGTTGAATTTATGCCTAAGTCAGAAGAGTTAGGTGTGGTGCATATCTAATGTCAGTTAGTCAAATGTTTGTCTTAGTATATAGAATACAGTGTACCTTTCTATGCATCAAAAACATTAAAGAAACAATTCCAGATACAATAAAACAGCTTCAACATAATAATGTAGTAATAATAATAATGTTTGGATATTGGTTGCAAAGTATTGCCTGTTTGTTATTAACAAACCATCACATGTATCTTAAATTTTTAATATAATAGGCTTTACTGGGGGTCAGGACCATGGATGTATATACAGTTACACATTGCTCCAATGGACATTATATGGTACATGACTGTAACCATATACACATACATAGTTTCTATGTATATACAGGTATATATATGTATGTATATGTATCATAGAGTCCCTGGGTGATACAAGGTGTTCATGTCTTGGATGCTAGCTGAAAGGTGAAGGTTCAAATCTACCCAGAGGTATCTAGCAAGAAGGCCTGGAGATCTACTTCCAGAAAATCAGCAAATCAGCCATTGAAAACTATATGGAGCACAGTTCTAGGCTGACTCAATGGCAACTGTGTTTTTATATATATATAAAAAATATATATGTATTCTATCTTATCTATCATATATATATATATATATATGTATATATATATCTCAAGTAGATACACAGATAGAAAAGGAGAGATTTATTTTAAGGAATTGGCTCATGCAATGGTGAGGGTTGGCAAATCCAATTTGTAGGTCAGAAAGCAGGCTGGAGACTCCAGCGGGATTTCTATGGTACAGTCTTGAGACAGAATTTCTCCTCTTCAGGAAACATTTTGTTCTTAAGGACTTCAGCTGATTGGACCAGACCCACCTACATTCTCAAGGGTCATCTCCTTAGAGTCAACTGATTGTAGATGGTAATCACATCTATGAAACACCTTTCCAGCAACATCTGGACATTTAAGTAAATATCTGGGCACCACACCTGCCAGGTTGACACATAAATGAGCCCTCACAGCTCCCAACAACCCCATGGATCATGGAGTCCATTTTATTTTATTGGGATTTGGTTGAAAGTTTACAGAGCAAATTCATTTTCCATATAGCAGTTCACACACATTTCGTTTCATGGTATTGATCTCAATTCCCCGACAGCTCTCTTCCCACTTCCTCCCTGTGGTTACCTTCTCCTTGCATCCTTTTTTTCCTATGCCTTCTTGCCTTCTGAGCTTTTTTCCTGTGCAAATGCTGCCCTTCTGATCTCCCATGGTTGATTGTTCTCAGGAGTGTATCTTACTTGATATAAATGTTCACCTTCTAGGCCTGTCTATTGTTTGGCTGGAAGCCACAGGAGTGAGTTCAATTCCCAGCCCGAAAGGTGACTAGGGGCCATAGTCTCAGGGTCTCACCAAGCTCTATCAGTCCATGCAGTTTACATTATATATGAGGAAACCAAGGCTCAGAGCAGTTAAGACCATTGTCCTCTGTGCCCAGCCTATCTGGGCAGGGCTGGGGCGCGATCCTGTGTCTCGAGGCTCCAGAGTCCTGCCCTCCAGCCCAGCCCTCACAGCCTCTGTTCCAGGAGCTGCCTGAGGATGAGGGGGACATCCTTGCTGGGTGTGGCCAGGCCCTGACTGTTGAGGGCATCTACGAGGATGTTGTCCGAGGGGTCTTGCTTCAAAGGATTGACCGAGGTGAGTTCTGGGGCCCCCGTGGCCCAGGGGAGCCTGGCACCCCCCCGGCTGTATGTACTGAGCCCCAGCAGGGCTCCCATCACTTCTCACTTCCTTTTAACACTTGCCCTTTGACCTAGGGTCATATCTGGGACAGAGGGGGCCCAGAGTGGGGGAGGCCAGAGGGGCAGTGATGGAGGCTCCTGAAGGAGGGGGCATCAGAGTGAGGCCGTGAGGGATGCGTAGGAGTTCCCAAGATGACAACCAGGAGATAGGATTAAAAAATTGGGGCAGCCTCCTTTCAAGAAGATTAAAATCTTTAAAATAATACTTTTTTTTTTTTTTAATTAGGATTTGGATGAAGATTTACAGAGTAAATTCACTTTTCATACAGCAGTTCACATATACTTTGTCTCATGTCATTGACCAAAATTTACAATGCAGCAGCTCCCCTCCCACTTCCTCCCCATAGTTACCTCCTCCCAGTGTCCATCCCTTCATACTCTTCTGCACCCTGAGCTATCTCCCTGTGCATAAGCAGCCCTTCCTTCTCCCATGATTGTTCCCTCCAGGGCGTGTGTCTACTTGAGGTAAATGTTTAACTCACATGCCTGTACTTTGTTTGGCTGGAAACCACAGTTGTGGGTTCAATTCCAGACCTGAAGGGCAGCTAGGGGCCATAGTCTCAGTGGTTACACCAGGTTCCATTGGACCAGCAAACCTGGTCCCCACCTTCTTTTTTTTTTTTTTTGCCTCCAAACGATTTTGAGTTTTGTACCACATTGTTCTCCCTCTTTATGCAGGATCTCCTACATCCCTTCCAAGTGGATGGCAGTGGTAGCTGGGCACCATCTAGTTCTTCTGGTCTCATAGCTGTATAGGTTGCAGATCGGATGGTGTACCAGTCGCTAGGACTGATTGTTTCCCTTAATTTTGGTTTTCTTCTTTCTTCTTGACGAGGAGAGACCCGTTGTTGCATCTAGATGGCAGCTTCCTAGCTTTTAAGGTCCCAGTCGCTACTTGTCAAAGTAGTAGGTGGAACAATGTTTTGTATAGTATGTTATGCCAATTGAGCTTGATGTCCCCTGCGACTATGGTCCCAAGCCCGCAGGATCAACTACTCGGTCCCTCTGGGTAGCTGGCTGTGACCAAGTAATGACCATAACCTTGCCCCTTGTCAGCTCTACTATACACCTGGGAATTCTGATCAAATCTTTAAAATAATACGTTTTAAGGCCAATAATATTAAGAGGATATGTCAAAGGTGGGTAGAAAGAAAAATTACAAGGTGGTTTGATTCCTCCACGTAAATATTGTTCGCTGGTGAGATACTTAGGAACAGTCTAAATAAATTACTGATGCCAAAGTGAAGTACTTAAACCAAAATTAAATGAGAAAATTTAAAAAGCAGAGGAAAAATAAACCGGGGCCAGAAATTCACATTTATTCATCCAATAACCACTCCTTGTTTTTCTCAGGGCAGGTATTGGGGCCCCTGAGAGTTTTCAGATTTCGTGGGTATGCCTCTGAGGAGGGGGAGGCTCCTAGTCTGGGAAGAAGACCCCACAGTGCCTCTTCTCTTTCTTGGTCACATCATTTCCTTTATTCCTTAAAAGGAATAAATCATTATAACCCCCGTGATGTGTGCCCCACAAGGGGACTGTGAGTCAGAATCCACTCAGTGGCAGGGGGTTTGGTTTTGGTTTTGATGCAGATATGACTTTGTCAACATAACCAAAACAAAATAAAACCTCATCCCCCTGCTGTGGAGTCGGTTCTGACTCATAGTGACCCCCTTTGGGTTTCCAAGGAGGTAAATCTTCACAGAAGATTTCCTGGTCTTCCTTCTGCAGAGTGGCTGATGGGTTTGAACATCCAAACTTCTGGTTAGCAGCCAAATGCCTTAGGCACTGCACCATCAGGAAACCCTAATACCCAAAGAGATTGCATCTACAGGTATCGCCTTTCCAGTCTAGTGGATTCTGATTCATAGTGGCCCTACAGGACAGAGCAGAACTGCCTCATAGGGTTTCCAAGGCTGTAATTCTTACAGGGGGAGCCCTGGTGGTACAGTGGAGAAAGTGCTCAGCTGCTAACCCAAAGGTCAGCGGTTCGAACCCACCAGTTGCTCCATGGAAGAACGATGTGGCAATCTGCTTCTGTAAAGATTACAGCCTTAGAAACCCTATGGGGCCTTTCAGTTAGCATCTGAGTGCTTAGCCGCTGTGCCTTCAGGGCTTCCTTCCACAGGTATAAATCCAAGAAAACCAAACTCACTGCCATCGAGTCGGTCCTGACTCATAGCGACCCCTCCTTGGGTTTTTGAGGCAGTATCACTACAAAAGTAGATTGCCCAACCTTCCTTCCAAGGAGTTGCTGGTGGGTTTGACCTGCCAGCTTTCTGTTTAGCAGTCAAATGCCTTAGGCACTACGCCACCAGAGCTTCCTCCAACACATATTTGTTGGGAACAAATTCAATCTGTAACCCTGCATATGGTGCAAGTGGTGTGCAGGGCTGCCAGAGGAGAGGAGGCTGGTGGATGGCCAGGACAGATGGGTAAGGACTTGAGTAATAGGCAGAGGGAGGATTTAGAGTTTATGGTGCAGGCACTGGGGACCCATGGAGGGTGTGTGAGCAGAGGGTGACTATGGCTAGACTAGAAGCCCAGGAGGAGGCTAAGGGCATGGTCCTGGGCGCAAAGGACAGGACTGAGCAGAGACAGCTGCCACAGGGACAGAGCCCAGGTGTGAGGTGGAGGCAGGAGCTGGAGGTGCCCCAGTTGCTGGCGTGAGGGGCCACAACCCAGGGAGAGTGTAGAGAAAGGAGAGGGAGCACCAGGGGGGCCCCAAAGAGCCTATATTTGAAGGACACAAAGGAAGGAGGGGCATAGAAGGAGCAGTGTGGGAGAGGTAGGAGGAACCAGGGGATGGAACTGTCCTCAGCGACCAGGAGCTAAGCAGGAGGATGTGTCCTTGGTCTGTGGAGGCAGGAGGGAGGCAAACAAGAACTAAGTTCCCTTAGAATTGGGGGGATTTTATTTTATTTTTTTAAATTTTATTATGGTGAAAATATATACCAACTACCTACCCACAGCCATTGAGTTGGATCCAACTCATAGTGACCCCTCTTTGGGTTTCCGAGGCAGTATCACTACAGAAGTAGATTGCCTAACCTTCCTTCTGAGGAGTGGCTGGTGGGTTTGAACCTCCAGCCTTCTGGTTAGCAGTCAAATGCCATAGGCACTACACCACCAGAGCTCCTGTGAAAATATATAGCAAAACATATTCCATCTCGACCACTTCTACACGTACAATTCAGTGATATTTCTTACAGTCTTCAAATTGTGTCCTCATTCTTGCTATCCTTTCCAAATCATTTCACCACTGTTAACGTAAACTCAGTGCTCCATAATATGGGAAATTTTAAAGGGAAAAAGCCTGTCTTGAGATTGAAAAAGAAAATCCGGAAACAGGTAAACCCAATGCGTTACTGTCCCTAGAGGTTTGCCTTATGCCTAAGGCTGGCCATCTTCAATTGACTTGTGATGTCTTCCCCTAGTGCAGTGTTGCCAAGAACAGCCAGTCGGCGTGTCCAGGCTAGGTGAAGAGTGTGGGGATCTACTTTAAATGCCTGCCTTGGGCACAAGCGTGGGAAATAGACTACCTTTCTTTAGGAGTCTTGGTTGTGACATTTGCTGTCACCCTCTGCCATCTACTGGCCTCTCTGGGGAAATGTATGTATACCTTTCGCGGGTGGGCTTGTCTCGTTTCAGAGTTAAAAAAGGCCCTCGGTGTGAGCGACATGGCCTGTACTCCAGATGGCTTCTTAGATGCCCCATGGGACCAGGAGGAAGCAGGTGAGGGCCCCAACATCCATGGCTGTGACAGTGAATCTCTGGGGGGGCTGGGGTCTTGTGTCAGGGTACGAGGTGGTCATGGATGTAGGTTAGAGGATGGAATGGCATGCATCTTGTTTCCTGCCCTGCAGGGCTGGCCAAGTTCATGGCAAAAAGGGCGGTGGGGAACCATGGAGTGTGTTTAGCTATGGGGAAAAATAAAAAATAACCCACTGCCACCAAGTTGATTCCAACTCATAGTGACCTTATAGAACAGAGTAGAACTGCCCCCATAGGGTTTCCAAGGCTGTAAATCTTTACAGAAGCAAATACTGCCTTGTCTTTCTCCCACAGAGTGGCTGGTGGGTTCAAACTGCTAACCTTTTGGTTAGCAACCAAATGCTTTAGCCATTACATCACCAGAACCAGGTCTGGCATTCATGAGAGCTCAGCTGTCCAGAGCCAAGATGGTAATGAATTTGCATTCCATCTCATCTTGCTAGGACTGGATGGGGCTTCTCTCAGCAGCTCCTTCCTGTTCCCAACACTGGAAGGGGAGAGAGCAGGGGCAGAAACCTTGGGCTTGCAGTTGGCAAAGGCTCAGGGCTGGGGCCGGCTCACTCTGGTGTCTGTCTTGCCCTAAATGCGTGTCTATGCCTGTTCTGCTCTTTTTATACCTCAGAAGTGATTAGATTTAGGAGCCACTCGCTGCCCCCAACTCATGGCAATCCTGTGCACAACAGAACGTAACACTGCCCGATTCCGCACCAGCCCCACGATCAGTTGTGGATTGGGCCATCGTGATCCGCAGGGTTTCCACTGGCTGGTTTTTGGAAGTAGATCACCAGGCCTTTCTTCTTGATGCATTTTAGGCTGGAAGCTCTGCTGAAACCTCAGCATCCTAGCAACACGCAAGACAGGTGGTCATGGCTGTGCATAGGGGGCATTGAACTGGATCAGACCTGGGGCTCCCACATGGAAGTCAAGAACTCCAGCACCTATCACACACCAAATATGAGACATGCATGTTTTGTATCATCCTCATGACATTTTTCCATTTGACAGATGAGGAAACTGAGGCTCAGAGACAAGGATGGATTTGCCCCAGGCAGCCAGGCTCCAGCACCGAGGTCCAGCCTGTCTGCCCACTGCCTCCTGAGAGAACATTCCAGAGCTGAATCCACCTTCATTTCCATTGGATAAATATCTGCCAATGAAATTTCTGGACCAAAGCATTGCAGCATTTTCAAAGCTTTTGTAACCACCACCCCCTGCCCTGCTACCTCATTCTTCTCACCAGCAGCATTTCTGAGTTTTCTCCTGTCCTTTTTGAAACACCAGGAATTATCATAAAAGAAAATATTCTTTTTTAAGAGTCAAGTTGAGTAAATAAATAAATCTCAACATTGTTCTTCAAAAATTCAGAAGGAATTTATTTTGAATTTCTTTGATGACTGAATTGAACTTAAAAATTTTTTTTGGCCATTTATATATCTTTTTGTTGTTATTGTTAATTTCCTTTTTCATGGCTTTTCCCCATTTTTCTTTGGAATGCTTATATTTTTCTTATTGATGTCTAATAACTCTTTATATATTGAAGATACTAATGTTTTCTTACACAGTCTGAAATATTGTTTTCTCAGCTTGATCTGGGCATTTTGGGTTTGCATCTTGCTACATTTTTCACCTTGGAATAGAGATTCCTCCTGCCGAGAGTTAGACTTTTACTGACCCCTTCGACTCGCCAGAAAAGTATCAGTTCACAGGGCTTGGCGGCTTCTCCCATATCACAAGTTATACAGCTGCTTCCGGAGTGGGTTCCGGAGGGATTTTGCCTGATGGTCCTCTAGGTTCAGCTTTCAGAGGATATAGTTTCCTCCTATTCTGTTCCGGAGTTTTCAGCCCCTCCTAAAGGAAAATGTATCCTGACTTCCCCCCGCCTTCCTGAGATATTTTTACACTCCACAGCCTCGTCCAACTGGATCTTCTTTTCACCCAAGATATAGATGTTCATGCTGGAAATACTACAGCAAAAAAGAAATTGTCATCCCAACCCCTTTGAGAAAACCAGTCTGCCCTAGGGTATATATCCTTCCAGTCTTTTCTCATCATGTAGATGTGCAATACAGACGCAGGATCAGAAGCATGGGGCGTGACTTGTCACTTGTTTTCTTAATACGAAAGAGGGAGTCTCTGGGTGGTACACATGGTTAAGACTTCAGTTACTAACCCAAAGCTTGTTGGTTCGAACCCAGCCAGGGGTGCCTCAGAAGACAGGCCTGGTGATGTGCTTCTGAAAGGTCACAGCCTGGAAAACCCCGTGGAGCACAGGTCTACCCTTGCACAATGGGTCGCCATGAGTCAGAATCAACCGGTGGGTTGGTTTGAGTTGGTTTTCATATGAAAGAAAGATCTTTACCCACCAGATCCATAGAATGTAAGTTTGTTTTGAAGTTTTTATTATGGGAAATGTCAAACATACTTGTCTTAGCTTCCTGGGGTGGCCATAATAGAATACCACAAAGTGGGTGGCTCTAAAGAACAGAAACGTATTGTCTCGTGGTTCTGGAGGCTGGGCGTCCAGACTCAGGGCACTGGCAGGGCAATGCTCTCTGGCTCTCTCTAGGGGAGGATCCTTCCTTGTCTCTCTCAGTTATTGGCAGATGGAGTTTCAGCTTATAGACGGATCCTCACATAGGCTTGCTTCTGTGTGTGACTGTTTCTGTGTCTGTCCTTTTCTAAGACACCACTGAGAAGGGATTAGGAATAGGATCCACTTCACCCCAAACCACACTCACTGGCATCAAATTGATTTTGACTTATAGTGACCCCTACTGGGCTTCCAAGGCAGCCTCATCATTCTTTGGCAGAGTGGCTGGTGGGTTTGAACCACCAACCTCCTGGTTAACAGCCAAATGCCTTAACCACCACACCAACAGAGCTCCTTCACTTTACCCCAGTATGATTTTATTAACTGATAACATCTGTAAAGATAAAAACTATTTTCCCAAGCAAGGTCCCATAGGACTTCAACCTATCTTTTTGGGAAACATAATTCAATCCATAACGATACCCCAGAGAAGAGACCTCAGAGCCCCATGACGAGATTCAGCAGGGACCCACTTGGGGGGAGGCACCCCTGTCCCTCTGCTGCCCTCCCCGACTCCCAGGTCCATCTGCCCTCCCGTCATTTCCCAAGCAAAGATTGTGCCACCTGCCCTAAATATTAGGCCAGAATGTTAACTTGCACAAAAGATCATTGTAGGAAAAAGGTAGAAAACAGAAGCAAAGGAGAGGGAAGAAAGGGATGGGACGGGATGGGGCGAGTGTCACAGAACCCCACCAGCCTTGCTTCAGGGGCTCATCTGGTCAACCCGGTTGCCACCTAGGCAGCTCTGACTCCTGGCAATGCCACATGCATCGGAGCAGAAAGATGCTCCACAAGCTTTCAAAGGTCGATTTTTCTGAGGCAGATCATCAGGCCGCTCTCCCAAGATGCCTCCAGGTGGACTCCACCACCAGTCTTGAACTGCCAACCTTCCGTGTTAGCAGCCATGCACATGAACCACCTGCAGGGTCTCCTGGTCATCCCACATTTTACTTCCTAAAGCTCCAAGCTCCCCCTGTCCCACCCACGAATAAGGACACATGCCCTGTGCCCTTAAGTTTAAGAAACTACTTATTTTTTACATCAATAAATATATATCTGTGTATCGTTTTTAAAACTTAATGCTTAAGGATGACATAAAATATGATGTCTAGATGGATTAAAACATACGTCTGAGTATTGGAGAGCAACCCTCTGGTAACATTTCCATCTAAACCCAGGCCTCACCCATTCCAGCATGGTTGGGTTCCATCTTTAAGCCCACCCTGCGCGGGTCCATTATGATCTCATTTTACAGATGAACAAACTGAAGCTAACACTGTGAGCCCACAGAGGAGGTTGTATTTGAACCTGGGTTTGCAGACTCCGGGGCCTGACCACTTAATGCCCAAAGATCTCCAACATCATGGAAAACGGGATGGTTAAAACCCATTTCACAGCCAAGGAAACTAAGACACAGACTTTCAGGCTCCAAACCACGTGATAATTCCCCAGGTCTACCTGGTGGCCTAACCCAGGACTTATTCAAATGGACGTTGAATGGTGTTCAGGGAGGGAGTCCTTGCGGCAGAGAGATTAGAGAGAGGGACTGCGCTGGACAGAGGCAGTCGGGGCTGCAGCACCTTTAAGGCCCAGTGGCCACGTCCGGACCGTGGTTTTGGAGGGTTCTGTGCCTTTAAGGTGAGAGGAGACGGGCCTTGGAAGGCGACCCTGAGGCCTGACGTCACGCCAGGCACCTCCCCTACATCCCAACAACTGCTTTAAGGCGCGGCGGAGTCGGCCGGCAGGAAAGCGGCTTAAAGGCGACGCGTGGCGCGATGGCGGTATCCCCACGGGCGGCCAGGCGGCGCGGACGGCCGATTCTGGCGCTGCTGCTGCTGCTGGTATCGCCGCCCCTCGGCGGCCCGCTGGGCGCCTCCGCCTACTTCCCGGAGGAGCGCTGGACTCCGGAGTCCCCACTGCAGGCGCCGCGCGTGCTAATCGCGCTGCTGGCGCGCAATGCGGCCCCCGCCCTGCCCGCCACTCTGGGCGCCCTGGAGCGGCTGCGGCACCCGCGGGAGCGCACGGCGCTATGGTGAGCCGCTTGCCTGGGAACCCATGGGGTGGCCCGGGCCCTGACGCTGCCGCCTGATCCCTATTACGGCGGATTTACATTTCACTCTGCAGTTGACCCCCCCCCCCACTACTGTTAGGCCAGGCCCTGACCTGCCAGCTGATCCCTGCCTTATGACCCCAACTGGAGTGGGCCACCACGCACTGACCCTGCATGCTGTTCCCCAGTGGGCGGCCCATTAGGGCAGGTCATATTGGATCCTGCTTGCTGTCCCACACTTTTTGTCCTAACCCCCTCCTTCACATTAGTGTGGAAGAGGCCTGGTTCTGTGTGCTGTCCCCCATTGGGTTGGGCGGGGCCGGGGTGGTGGTGGAGGGAGACACTAATCCTGCTTGCTGTCTCTCATCAGGGTGGGTCCACATTGCTCCCTCATGTCTGACCCCCCAATGGGGGCCCAGGTCCTGCCCAGTCTTCTGCCTCTGTTGGCATGGCCCAGGCCCAGGGGAGACCTCTGCTTGTTGTCTTACCCCTAAAATCCAAGGATGTGAGGACCAGCTTTATGCCTGTGGTCCCCAGTAGGGAGGTTAGGGCAGTCCCCAGTAGGGAGGTTAGGGCAGACCTAGCTGCCTGGGACTAACTCTCTAACTCCTCCTGCTTGTGGGGCTGCCCAGGAGAACCTGGGCCTGTGGCCTCTCCCATATTTGGCTCCCATCACCCTTGCCCTAATGGGGAGTCCTGCCCTGCTCCTCTTGACACATGTGCCCCCACTGCCCCTTCCGAGTTCAAGGACCCCCATCAGACTCCTGCCCTCCCCAACCGAGCAGCAGTGTGGGTGGGGAGATGGCTGAGGGGGGAAGGGAGGAAGTGGATCCTGCCTGGAAAGGGATGCATGTGTCTGTTGCAGTCAGGCAGAGCCTTGAGGAAGCCTCAGACTGGGGACTTGGCGTCTCTTGCCTCAGTTTCCTCATCTGGAAAATGGGGATATTACTGTAACTCTTTTCTTGGGTTTGTCTCTGAGGATTAAGCAGTGTGAAACCTTCAGTGCCGTTTACTGGGACCAGAGCTGCAATTAGCGTTGTTCTCATTTTGGGCCTGGTTATTACTGTCATCACTTCTGGGATTACCGTTGACTCAATACGAACATATTGGGGGAAATTAGCTCTGGGCTCCTTAGTCAAAGCAGACTCACAAATGTACCCTTTTCCCTCCATTCCAGGTCTCCTAGCCCTTGATAATCCAAGCACGCAGTTGGTGCTGAACAGATGTTTGTTGAATGAATGCTTGACCACAGCCTGCTCTGGGGAGGTGTTACGAGAGAATTAGGAAAGGCTGGGTGGGGGTTAATTTTTTACAAACTTGCACATGCTGAGTCCCAAGAAGTGGTCATAAGACCCTAAAGGCTTTTAAACCAACAATCGCTAATTGTGGGTCCTTTTATCACGCCCAGGTTACAGATGAGGGAACTAAAGCAGGGGGAAGGGAAACATCTTGCCCAGGACCGCACAGCTAGTGGGGACTGAGCCAGGATGTGGATTCTGAGTGGCCTCACCACTGCCTGGTCCTGCCTCAGTCTCCCTGTCCACACTGACTGCGCCCCTCTAACTGCAGGGTGGCCACAGACCACAATGTGGACAACACGTCTGCCGTGCTGCGGGAGTGGCTGGTGGCTGTGAAGAGCCTGTACCACTCTGTGGAGTGGCGGCCGGCCGAGGAGCCCAGGTGAGCAGATTGGCCCTGCCCCTGCTCACATACCCTCCATGGCTCCCTACTGCTCCAGGATGAAACTCTAGCCTCTCAGCCCAACTCTGCTACCTTAAACTCTGGCTGCTCTTATCTGTCCTCACCTTCAACAAAGGGCTATAATCTCTCTCCAGACCTTTGCCCTAGCCATTCTCTCTACCTGGAGTTTTCTCACTCCTTATCTCTCTGGAGGACCCCATGGCTTTGTTCCTGTCTCAGTCTCAACCCCAGGATGGCTTTGCTTCCTTGTAACCCCCTGGGTGGAGTGGGCCCCTGGCTCCTCTCACCTTTCAGTGTTTGTCTCTCTCTTCCTTCTTTTCCCTTCCTCTCCCACCTACTGGAGACAATGGTGGTTGGGGGTAGAATGTGCTCCCCTTCCATGCCGGATTGATCGACCCGGAGACCAGATCGACCCAACCCGGCCAGTCAGCTTCATGTGCCGCCCCCACTGTTCTGTCCCTCGAGGCTTGTGTGTTGATATTGAACAGGGTTCAGCAGAGCTTCCAGAATGAAATGGACTAGGAAGAAAGGCCTGCCAATCAACATCCAAATATCAGCCAGTGAGACCCTGTGGATCACACTTGATCCACAACCAGTCATGGGGATGGTGCAGAGCAGGCAGGGTTTCGTTCTGCCGCATGTGGGGTCACCGTGAGTCGGGGGTCCACTCTGTGGTACCCACCCACGGCTCGGACACACTCGGGCTCCAAGTGTTTTCCTGTTCTGTGCTCTTCTCCTGTCCCATTGGCTCCCCTCCATGCTGGAGAACACCCTTGTCTGGCATGTGAGGCCCCTTCTCCCTCCACCCCCACCCTTACCCCTATCCCAGCCACACTGAGCTTTCTGTAGCCTCCAAATCGCCATCTAACTTTGTCTGCTCTGGACTTTGCACATGCTGTGCCCTTGCCTAGAGTCCCTGGGTAAAAACACAGTTAAGCACCCAACTACTAACCAAAAGGTAAGAGGTTCAAGTCTACTCAGAGGCACTTGGGAGAACGGCCTGGTGATGTATGTCCTGAAACTCAGCCATCGAAACCCCGTGAGGCACAGTTCTCTGACACATGGAGTTGCCAGGAGTCAGGGTTGATCAGGGGCACCTGGGCTTTTCTTAGTGCTTCTACCTGACACACACACCCCCTCCCCTCCTCTTCTCTCCTTGCTTGTTCCTTCCTATCCTCCAGCTCCAGCTGACACATCCCCTCCTCCAAGAAGTCCTCTCTGACTACCCCCAAGGCACTCAGACACTCTGTGGGCTCCAGCATCACCTGTGCCTCCTGTGTCATAGATGCTTCCCTACAGGTCCTACCCAGACGAGGAGGGCCCCAAACACTGGTCCGACTCACGCTATGAGCACGTCATGAAGTTGCGCCAGGCAGCCCTGAAGTCAGCAAGGGACATGTGGGCTGACTACATCCTGGTGAGTTCCTCTACTGGGTCCTGGAAGGTCTGAGGGGTTCCCAGGAGAAGATTCTACAGTGGGGTGCAAGGACTATCCTTAACCCCGTTTTACACAGGAGGATACTGAGGCTCTGAGAAGGGGAGTGAGTTGCACAAAGTAGCCCACCTGGAGTTCGATCCTGGGCTACCCCCCGTGGTTGGACCCTTAAGTCATCTCCACTCTTATTGCCACCATAAATGACATCAGACCTCTGTACACCCCTTCCCCTGATGACACCTGGGTCACTTCCCAGAAGTGGGAGGACAGGGTTGGGCAGGGGGGCGTTGGAGACATTGAGTTGCTGAGGCTGGACTTTCACTTCTTCCTCCTGGGTCCACAGCGTCTTTTGGAAGGAAAGGGAACTGTTGAGTCTTGAACACAATAATGTTGAGATCCGTGTCCATATGTCACAGGCCTCCAGGCTTCCTGTAGGCTGCCTTTTACTTTTTTTAAATTGTGATTGAGTGAAAGTCTGTGGCACAAATTAATTTTCCATATACCAATTAATACACATTTTATTTCATGACATTGATTGCAATCCCCACAATGTAACAGCTGTCTTCTCACTTCCTCCTTGTGGTTACCTTTTCCATGTGTCCTTTTCTGTGCATTCCTGCCCCCTGAGCTGTATCCCTGTGCAAATACTGCACTTTGGATCTCCATAGTTGATTGTTCTAAGAAGTGTATCTATGTGGTGTAAGTTCACCTTATGTGTCTGTCTATTGTTTGGCTGGAAGGTACGGGCGCACAGGGTGAGTAGCGGCCATAGTCTCATGGAATTCACTAGTCTCTGTCAGACCAGTAAGCTTGGTGTTTTTCATGTTGAGTTTTGTTCCACATTGTTCTCCCACTCTAGCCAGGATCCCCTACATTGATTTCTGAGTGGTTGAAGTGGGAGCCAGGCCACCATCTAGTTCTGGCCTCGGGGTCATGTAGGCTGAGGTTTGCATGGTCCACTAGTCCCCTGGACTAATTGTTTCCATGTGTCTTTGGTTTTCTTCATTCTTCTTTGCTCTGAATAAGGAGATACCAGTTGTTGCATCTAGTTGGCCGCTTGGAAGTTTTTAAGACCCCAGTCACTATTCACCAAAGTAAGATGTAGAGCAGTGTTTCTGTGTAGTATGTTATACCAGTTAAGCTTGATGTCCCCCGTGACCATGGTCCCAAGCTCCTGTGAGCTCCCTTAACCTAGGTGTGATGCTTCCTGGTTTTCTCCCCACTGTAGCTGGGGAGGGTGCTGTGGGCTGGGCCTGGCTCACCATGGCAGTTGAATGCAGTAGCAACAGCCTGACAATGCCTCTGGTTGCTTCTATCCCAGGGCTAGGCCCTGAGCTGTGGTCAGAACCTTCTTTATTTATTAATCAGCATATGTCTCCAAGCCCTGATGGCATGCTGGGCCTCTGCAGGGCCCCTGGGACACAGCAAGGATTAGCACAGGCGCAGCCCACGCGGAAAGGTGGACATGACCGGAAAGCAAGCAAAAAGAATGCACCAGGGAATATCCTAAGGCAGCCTGTGCTGGGAGGACATTGTCAAATGGTGATGAGATGGCATGACCAGGGTGGGGCCTCCCTGAGGAAGGGCCATGAGCTGAGACTGTAGGAGAGAAGGAGCAGCCTGGGGAAACAGTGTTCCGGGCAGAGAGAACAGATGGGGGCAGACTGGAAGCATTCCAGGAATGGTCAGGGGGCCAGAGTGGCTGGACAGAGTGAGCAGGGAGGGGAGCGGAAGAGATGAGGTGGATGTGGTGGGCTGGAGCCGGACCATGCAGGCTGATGGAGAGATGTTGCTTTTATACTGAGGGTCCTGGGGAGCCATGAAGGGTTTGGAGCAGAAGGGGGCTGTCGTCGCATTTATGATTTTTAGAAGCCCACTGTGGCTGCTGTGGGAACCGAGACTGTCAGGGTTAGGGATGGAGTGGCAGCAGGCCAGGGCATTGGTTGTGTTAATTCCTTCTGAGGGAGGGTCTGTCCCATCCTCTGTCCTGGCTTCAGGTAACAGACAGCGATCCTTGGCATTCCTTGTCTTGTACATGCACCGCTCCAATCTCTGCTGTCTTCCCTCTGTCCCTCTGTTACTTCTTTATGATAAGGACACCAGTCATATAGGGCTAGGAGCAGCCCTACTCCAGTGTGACCTCATGTTACCCTAACTGATAACGTCTGCAAAGACCCTATTTCCAAACAAGGTTACATTCACAGGTACAGGGGTTAGGTCTCCAACATAATTTTTTGTTGGACACAGTTCAGTCGGAGCTGTCAGGGTTCTGTCTGGATCACCCTGCTCGCTATGCCAAGTGTTTCGAACCAAACGCACTGGCGCCGTGTCGCTTCTGACTCACAGCGCCCCTAGAGGACAGAGTAGACTTGTCCCAGAGGGTTTCCAAGGCTGTGAATCTACAGAAGCACACTGCCTCATCTTTTTCCCATGGAGCAGCTGGTATGTTTGAACCACCAACCTTTTGGTTAGCAGCCAAATGCTTTAACCACTGTGCCACCAGGGAAATCTCAGCTTCCCTTCCCTGCTCAGTCCAGACCCCAGCTGCTCTGTCATCCTCATTCACCTGGGGCCAGGGCAGCAGGTGCTGGCTTTGCCTCTCTCACCCCCACCCACCCAGGGCCTGTTGAGGGCCTGGCTCCATCTGTGTTTGAGGTCCGATCATCTGATAATCCCATGATCCTTTGGAAGGGCTCAAAGGCCAGGGAGAGGGCTATCTTTAATCTACCAGATAAAAGGATGGAAACACATACATGACGAGGGCTGGGAGGGGTCTGGCTCAGAGCTCCCACATCCTCAGGGGACACGCTTACCCTCCCCAAAGCAGATGTTCACAGTCTCCACACAGGAAGCCCCACTAAGCCTCTGTCCGCCAAGGCCTTCATCGGCTTCACCATGTGGCCGTGACGTCACACTTCCTGAGGCTTAGCCAGCACAGGCCCCCAGGTTGGCCCTCTGGTCTGGTCAACCCCTACCCATTGGCCTCAGGTACGGTCCTACTTTGAGGAACCAGGATCACAGGCCAAATTGTTCATAGCAAAAGGTGTCCCCAGCTTTCACAGTCCATAATGGTGCTAAATCAGAAGACCGCTATAAGAGGAGGCTTGGGTGGGCGGTGACAAATCCTTTGGTGGGGGTCACCGAGCCAGGAGGCACAGAGGTGGGACAGGGGTCACCCTGGACTGTCTGCACAGGGCCACCTTGCCCTCCTTCCTTGGGTTTTCGTTTCATGATTTGAGCTTGGCTGGGTTTTACTGCTTTTTCCCACAAACCTGGGTGGAGCTCAAGGTGTTAGTTCAAAACTCAAAGCCACTTTTGACACAAAATGGTATTTTTGTGAGTGCAGACTTTGAAAATTTCACACTCGAATATGAAGTTGTTTGTCTAATGTTTTTAAATTTTTATGAGAAAGACTTTTTTGTTTGTTTTTAACAAAAGCTATTGATGTTAATTTTAGAGAAAAACATAAGAAATACTATTGTAGGTAAATATATAAGAGAAACTATAAAAGTTATAAGAAAAATAAGTAAGAGGGGAAGGAAAACAAATGATACACTCTTTCCTCCCAGAGGGACCCGTTTTCTGGCTGTGTGGTTTTTTTTTTTTTTTTAGGTGTACTTTATATAGCATAAGATTAACCATTTATAAGAGAGCAGTTCAGTGGCATTTAGTTAGTTTACAAGGTTGTACAGTAGCCACCTCTGTCTAGTTCCAGAACATTTGCATCACCCTAAAGGAGACCCCATGCCCAGTTGCAGTCGCTCCCGCCCCTCCTGCCCTCAAGCTCTAGGCAACCACGAATCCACTTTTCCTTCTCTGTGGATTTGCGTGTTTGGGACATTTCATATACACAGGGTCAGACGGTGTGTGGTCCTTGGTCACTGGCTTCTTGCACTGAGCGTAAATACAGCTCTGGAGGCCAGAAGCCTGAAATCAGTGTTGGCAGGATCGAGTCCCTCTGGACCCCAAGGAGAGGGTCGTTCCTTGTCTTTAGCTTCTGGTGGGCCCAGGCTTTCCTGGGCTTGTGGCCACATCTCTGCCTTGGTCTGCACATGGCCTTAGTCTCTGTGTCTGGAGGTGCTGCCCATTTTTCTTTATCATGGTGAAATATTCACAACAGAAGTTTGCCATTTGGACCTTTTTTTTTTTTTTTAATTGTGATTTGGGTGAAAGTTTACAGAGCAAATTCACATTCCATACAGCAGCTCACATGCACTTTGTCTCACGATATTGACTACAATTTCCCACAATGCAACAGCTCCCCTCCCACTTCCTCCCCATAGTTACCTCTTCCCTGTGTCCATCCCTCCATGCACCCCTGCCCCTTGAGCTGTCTCTCTGTGCATACACAGCCCTTCTTTTCTCCCATGATTGTCCTCTCCAAGGAGTGTATCTACCTCAGGTGAATATTCAACTCATATGCCTATCTTTTGTTTGGCTGGAAGCCACAGGCGTGGGTTCAATTCCAGACCTGAAGGGCAGCTAGGGGCCGTAGTCTCAGTGGTTCCACCAGGCTCTATCAGACCAGCAAACCTGGTCCCTTTTTTTTTTTTTTCTCTCTCCAAATGATTTTGAGTTTTGTTCCATATTGTTCTCCCTCTCTATCCAGGATCTCCTACATAGATCCCCCCTGTGGTTGACAGTGGTAGATGGGCACCATCTAGTTCTTTTGGTCTCATAGTCATATAGGCTGAGGATGACATGGTGTACCAGTTGCTAGGACTAATTGTTTCCATGAATTTTTGGTTTTCTTCATTCTTCTTTGCTCTGGACAAGGAGAGACCCATTGTTGCATCTAGGTGGCTGCCTGCTTGCAAGCTTTTATAATCCCAGTTGCTACTCACCAAAGTAGGAGGTGGAAAAATGTTTCATGTAGTATGTTACACTAGTTGAGCTTGGCGACTATGGTCCCGAGCCCACAGGTTCATCTCAGTCCGTCTGGGTAGCTGGCTGTGGCCAAGAAGTGACTACAACCTTGTCCCTTGTCAGCTCAACTATACACCTGGGAATTCTTACAGAACATACAAATACGCTTGTAGAATCATTGTCTGCTAACCCTATACATGAGATTTGGACCATTTTTAAGTGTACAGTTCATTGACATTAATTACGTGTTGTACAGCCATCACATCTAGCCATTTCTAAGTTTTCATCACCCTCAACAGACACTCAGTGCCTCTTCAGCAGTAACTTCCTCTTCTCTACTCCTTCCCTCTGTTAACCTGTAGTAAACTTGGGTCTCTTTGCCAGAAAACCTAACCTGTTGACATCAAGTCGATTCTGACTCAAAGTGACTGCCATTGGGATTCTGTAAATCTTTACAGAAGTAGATTGCCCCATCTTCCTTCCACGGAAGTGGGTGGTGGGTTTGAACTGCCAACCTTCTAGTTAGCAGGCAAATGCCTTAGGCACTGCACCACCAGAGCTTATACCCACTGCTGTCGAGTTAGAGCCAACTCATAGAGACCCCTCCTTGGGTTTCTGAGGCAGTATCACTATGGAAGTAGATTGCCCAATCTTTCTTCCAAGGACTGGCTGGTGGGTTTGAACTGCCAGCCTTCTGGTTAGCAGTGAAATACTATGGATTTGCTTATTCTAGATGTTTCAGTAAGTGGGAGCATGTAATATTTGCCCCTTTGTGTCTGATTTCTTTCACTTGGCATCATGTTTTCAGGTTCATCCTCATTTAGTGTGTATCAGAGCTTCATTCCTTTTCATGACTGAGTGATACAGTCCATTGTGTGGATGGACCACACTGTGTTTATCCAGCATCTGTTGGTGGACACTTGGGTTATTTCCACCTTTTGGCTCTTATGAATAGTGCTGCTATGATGTTGGTGTGCAAGTCTCTGTCTCAGCTTTGGGCTTTGGCTTTCAAGTCTCTTAAGTCACATGGTAATTCCATGCTTGACTTTTTGAGGAACCCACACTCTTGAGTAACAGTTGTACCATTTTACATTCCCATCAGCGATGCATGAGCTTTCTGCTTTATCATTTCCTTGCCAATACTGTATTTTCTGATCCTAGTCACCCTAGCAGATGTGGTATTTCACTGTTATTTTGATTTGCACTGCCCTAATGACTAATGAGGAGCTCTGGTAGCATAGTGGCTAAAGCACTTGACTGCTAACCAGAAGGCTGGCGGTTCAAACCCACCAGCCAGTCCTCGGAAGGAAGGTTGGGCAGTCCTACTTCCGTAGTGATACTGCCTCGGAAACCCAAGGAGGGATCACTATGAGTTGGGGCCGACTCAACGGCACATAACAACAACAACAACAAAAATGACTAATGAGTAAGGAGCTCTGGTGGCATAGTGGGTAAAGCACTTGGTTGCTAACCAGAAAGTCAAGTGGTTCAAACTCACCAGTTGCTCCTCAGGAGGAAGATGAAGCAATCTGCACTTACTCAGCTATGCCAAGAAATTTGGAAGACAGCTACCTGGCCAACTGACTGGAAGCGATCCGTATTTGTGACCATCCCCAAAGTTGATCCAACAGAATGCGGAAATTATTGAACGATATCATCAATATCACACACAAGTAACGATTTGCTGAAGGTAGTTAAAAAATGGTTGAAGCGGTGTGTCGACAGGAAACTGCCAGAAATTCAAGTCAGATTCATAAGAGGATGTAGAACAAGGGACATCATTGCTAATGTCAAATGGATCTTCACTGAAAGCAGAGAATACCAGAAAGTTATTTATCTGCGTCTCATTGAGTGTGCAAAGGTATTTGACTATGTAGATCATAACAATTATGGATAACATTGCAGAAAATGGGAATTC